TTCGAATCTCTTCACCCAACACTTCTACTCGAAATGGAAGTAATCCCAACAATTATGAAAAAACTAGTTGCATTGCCTCCTTTTTGCAGGCGGCTCAACTCCCTCTCTTTCCTTCAGTCTATTAATAAAACACAATTAATTTTTTCTTATCTTTTCGCCGGTGTTCCTTACATTTAAGGTATTTCCGATTCGGTTTATTTCGATGGCTTCTCTAATTTTACATTTAGCCGCAAACATGCCATGATCAGCAAAACGACAAGTTTGAGACCATTCAATCTCGTGTCCCGTTTCTGTCCTGTGCTAAGCCAGCTCCGATTTGTGAACCCAACAACTTTTGCAGGCGCTTTTGTGTTCAGCCACTTTTTGTCGAATGGAATGACAAGTTTTTCCAACATAAAACCGACCAAATGAACACATTATTTTTTAGCAACCCGATCTGGATAGTGGGTCAACTTTCTCTCTAAAAGTGGGCATAACTGGAGAAAGTGTCGTAGTTTCCCTGAAGACCATTTTTATTTCCCATTTCTTTACTTGTTCACCTCTCCTTTCAGAGAGAATGCACAAAAGTAAAGACAAAACATGAGAAAAGGTCTACTTATCTCTCCTTACATAATCATCATTCAAACAGCTATTATTTATTAATCCAATCTTATTTTAATCAGGTCTAGGGTCAAGAAATATTATTTTAAGCCGATCCAGTTCATCTTCACACTGATCTCTATCGGCTAGTCTTATGCTCCGAATAATCATAGATTTAAGAACTCCAACCTTTGTTTTGCAGCTATGATTGGAGTAAAAGTTAAGTATAAAACCAGCATGTGTTGGCTAATTGTTGTGTGGTTCTAAGAACGGCGAGACTAACTGACAATGCCGACTACGATGCAGGCGAGGCGTCTGGGAAAGTACCACGTCCATCGTCCTACTCTGGAAATCATGCTGCAGACAATGGACTCCGGACTAGTTGCGTTCCTCTAAGACTTCCTACCAATCAGACCAAGTTGCGAAAACAAGGTCAAATAACCTTTAGTATATTTTTGTTCCGATGATGCCTGTCAATGCGGTACAAACGAAAGCTTAGCTCAGTTTGATCGGGGTCACAGGACGGTGAACCGAGGAATTCCTCGAACAATACAACACTATTCCCTTGGTGGAAATTCTTCTTCCGCGACTTCCGGTGGCATCACATCACGAATTCCTTGCACCAACTCTTCCTTCGAAATTGAAAGTCATGTCACAACTTAATCATTGCTGTATTTTAGGCACTTATTTTACTTGTGAGTAGTGCAAGAAACTCGGGAAATCCTGAAGTATAAATTGTGTTATGCTTTGCCATTCAATTTGATGGTGGAATTGTTCCCGAATGTCAATTAATTGCGTTTCGAAGTGTTTACAATAAAAGGTTTGGTCTCTAGAGCCTTGAGAGACAAGTCTGTTACAATTACAATTCTGTCGTGGGTCTCTCTCCCGGATTCATTGTGAGAAACTCCAATTCCAGATCCACCATAGAAGACTAAAGTTTGTATGCAAGAATTATTGGTAGTCTCACATAACAACAACAACATAAATCCCTTCTGTAGCTACGACGAGTAAAAAGTTTTCGATAATGACCTGAGATAATCTTGAAGATATCAAGACCAAGATGTTGTGGCCTCTGGTATGGTCGCAGTTTCCTTTCGATGTATACAAGTGGGTTGATCTCGTTGTCGCAACTTGGTCTTGTTGTCAGGGAGACTATATAGAACGCACTTAGTCCGAAGTCGTCTGCCATAGTAGTTGTCATGACTCCCAGCATCAGACAGTCGACTTGGTACATTCTCAAACGTTTCACCGGCATCGTAGTCGGCATCATCAGTCGCTGCTGCCATTTTCCGCAACAAGACCCGAACTAGTCTACATGAGTCCCTCTTATCGGAAACTTTTGCTTTACGCTTTCGCGTATAATCTCAAAGCTTTATCATTTAAATCAAAGACGATAATGTTTTCCGAATTTGATAGGAACTTGTAGATGTTATACTCTGTACCGTCTTTAATTCTGGTCCCGATGGAGATGCTGATGAGTCAAGTTCTGGCGAGGTCACAGCTGCCCCCAATTCAGTTTAGTTTGGATGAGAATACCATTTGGGTAGTGAGATTGTATGAAATTCAACGAAAACATGTGAAGGTATGAAGACCAAGATGTTGTGGTCTCTGATATGGTCGCAGTCTCCTTTCGATGTATACAAGTGCGTTGATCTCGTTGTCGTAACTTGGTCTTGTTGTCAGGGGGACTATGTAGAACGTACTTAGTCCTAAGTCGTCTGTCATAATAGTTGCCATGGTTCCCAGCATCAAGCAGTGGACTTGGTACATTCTCAAGCGTTTCACCGGCATCGTAGTCGGCATCATCAGTCAGCTTTGCCATTCTCCGCACCAAGACACTAACTCGTCAAAGAGACAAGTGACAAACGTTCTGCCGAAAACGGTTACACTATCACTCCTCTTTCTGTCAT